GTCTCCCTGCGCTTCCCCCGCTCCCCTCGCACCCCCTCGCACCCCCTCCCTCGCACCCCCTCGCACTCCTCCCCTCGCTCTCCTCGCATCCTCCCCTCGCTCTCCTCGCACCCTCGCACTCCCTCGCACTCCAGCCCTATCCCTCTCCCTACAACTGTCCCTACTTCGCTCCCTCCACCGCTCCTGACACCCACCCGCACATCCCTCAACCCGACCCGACCCGACCCAAAGCCGAGCATCCCACTCGCCAACCCCAGCCACGCACGCACCTCCTCGCACGCCCCGCGACAGCGACACTCATCTCCGACCCATCCCGCCGACCCTTGACCAGCGACACTCACCTCCGACCCATCCTGCCCATTTCCGACCCAACCCGCCCACCTTCGACCTCCGACCACCGACCAGCGACACCTCGCCTCCCACCCCGCCCCCAACCCTCCAACATCGCGCGCGAAATCCCCCGACTGACCTCGACCTCGACCTCGCACGTCCAGCCCGTCTCTCCGTCCAAGCGTAGGACCTTCCTACGGCCTCGTACACCCCTGGTACCCTGTCCACGATCATCCCGCACGACTCGAACGCCAGAAAGAAGTAGCCGACCGGCCACCTCGGTCAAGTACTCGTGCACTCCACCTTGGCCATGTCCATCTTCCTCGTGAATGTTCGGCGAACCTCAGCGTCTCTGCGGTATGTCCAGGTAGAACGTAATACACGCGCTCGGAGGGGCGTCAGGGAGCATCAATGAGCATGCGGGGATTTCAGCCTCCCGCTTGTAAGCAGCACGACGCCGGGAACGTTATTCTAGTGTCGCGGCAGACCATCTCCACCCACTGCACAGGTAAGCCCTCGTCGACGTCCACGCACACACGCACACCGCCAACATTCGTATCGCATCTCAGACGCATTCAATTCACAATCCAAAGTATAGCATGTACATCGAAACGGACCAGAGAAACCGACGAAAGAGCCGAGTCGACAAGAACGAAAGAGAATAAAGATAGAGATGTGTCAATAGCGATGTGACGATCCAAAGGGTAACAAGAGACCTGCATGGACGAATGGTCAGGTGCGTCGCCCGTCGCGCGACAAGAGAAGGGACGAGACTGACCACGATCCAGAAGACAAGTCCGCCCGGCACGCCTAGGACTTGATGGTGACGGGCATGCAGCCGAGGACCAACATGCCGCTATAGCTGTTGCCGCTGCAGCATACGGGGGCCGCGTCGCTGTCGGGCACGTCAGCGCACATCGAGTTCGCAAGGAGCGTGGATGACTTACCAGCTGGGGTCGCCGCCGACAGAGCCGGAGTCGATGGGGGAGCACTGCATGCCGAAGTACGACTCTGTGGGGACGTCGAGGCCGAGGGTGTCGATGAGGGTCTGGCCCTTGGGGCTGTCGGCGGGCTGGACCGAGTTGCAGCAGTGAGTGGGGCCGGTGTTGCACTGGGAGCCTGCGCCCGAGGACGAGGCGACCGAGGGGGCGGCGACGACCGAGCCGACGGTGGCGACGGCGAGGGTGGCGAGGGTGGCGAAGAGCTGCATGGCGAGCGGGGAGAGTGTGATGGGAGGGTGGTGGAGGGGATGCGCCGGGCGTGGGGTAAGACGAGGATGAAGAGGGTGGTGAGGACGACGACAGACGAGCGGCCCTGGCTTTATAGCTGGAGGGCGGGTGCGCAGGGCGGGCGGTGTCCAATGGGGAGACGATGTCTTCACAGAAGGAAGAACGCGACCGACGGACGATCGTGCACGGGCGGGTCGCGAACACGGGGAGGGCCCTTCACACACAGGCAGTCGTCGCTGGCCCCGCCGCCGTCTTCAGCTGCCCTCGCACGCTGCACGCCATGGACGAGAGCTTTGTGCATGGGCGGCCACCGACCCCGTCTCGCGCGAACGTACTTGGCTGCCGTTCCGGGACAGGCGTGTGCGGGCAGAGAGCCACGTGCTCGTCCGTTTCGGATGCGGGCACACGGAGGCGGCGGCGCGCGATCGCTCCCTTGTTCGGTTCCCCCCGTGCTTCGCGATTTTCGTGTGTCGGCCTCCGCGAATATCATCCACCGTCGCACACCAACGTCTGCGATCGAGCGGCGTGCGGGGCATGACCTCGACACGCAGGCTCCAGGTGCAGCAAACGACGGACGCAGGACCGGACACTCGAGAGACGTGAAAGAAATGGGTCGGGGCCGTTGGCGATCGGGCGTGCTTGTGTCAAAAACCGCTACTCGGGCGCAGCGTGCCTCGATGGAAAGAGATAGATTGGGACCCGTGCACGTCGGGACGGCGACCGACGGTGCCCAGAGAGGGTGCTCGACTACCAGACGGTGCCCAGAGAGGGACGCAGCGCGTGCGGGCGTCCTCGTCTGCGCCCTCCCAGACACCGAAAGACGCGGCCTTCGCTGCACACACGTCTCGCTTGCACCCCCTCCTCTCCGATTCCCGTCTCGCAGTACGCTTCCGGTGCGGCCCTCGCCTCTTCCCTACGCGATATGTCCGCCATGCCTGGACTCGACGTTCCTCCGGGGCGGACACGCCCTCTCAGAAGTCGCCCTCTCACACCTGTCGACACCCGACCCCGCGGACCTGCCACCGTATATAATCCCGCCGACCTCGACGTCCAAGGCCCATCGCTCACCTCCCCAGGCTCAGCGTTATCCACTCTCTTTCCTCGCTCTTACACTTCGCTCCACAGCACCCACCCTCTTTTCTCGCCCTCCCACTTCTACCACAGCAACAATGTTCGCCCTCCTCGCCGCCCTCTCCGCCCTCGCCCTTGCGGTCGTCACATCCGCGTCCCCCATCCCCTGCGACTCCCACTCTCACTCCTTCCCCGCCCTCCCCACCAGTACCGGCACCGCCATCGACGTCTCCGCCAGCATCGGGCCCACCGGCACCGACATCAGCATCCCCATCGGCACGCCCACCAGCATCCTGCCCAGCATCCCCGCCGGCCTCCCTACCGGCTCCAGCATCCTGCCCAGCATCCCCGCTGGCGTCCCTACCGGTCCCATCCTGCCCGTCGACCCCATCCCGACCTCGTCCTCCGGCGCGGGCATCGTCCTCTCCATCGGCGGCGGCGGCCTCCCCACCGGTGTGCTCACCATCGGCGGCGGCGGCAACCCAGGCCAGACCGGTGAACCCTCTGCAACCGCGCTCCCGACCGGGGGCTCGCCCGCCCCCTCCTCCCCCGCCGCCCCCGCTCCCTCCTCCGACCCGTCCAGCGGCTCCGGCTCTGGCTCCGGCTCCGGCAGCGGCAGTGGCAACGGCAACGGCGGCGGAACCTGCAGCACGGGCACGATCCACTGCTGCACCAACACCGTCCAGTCCGACAGTGACAAAGGCCGCGCCCTCGCCGGACTCCTCGCCCTCAAAGGCGACTACAACGGCTTCTTCGGCGAAAACTGCTCGAACCTCAACGTCGTCGCGGTCAGCGAGGGCCAGTGGTCAGTTTCCTCCCTTATTTTTTGGCAGGAGGAGTTGGTCGCTGACAAGTCGTCGTACCGTCACAGCAATGCGCAGACCGTGTGCTGCGATAGCGGCAGGCAGACCGGGCTCGTGAATGTCGGCTGCGTGCCCGTCACCCTCTGAGCCTTTCCGGCGCACGAGTCCTTGCCACCCGTTCCAAGTTCCATCGCACCGGACTCTCGTCAGCCGTGCCCTCAGCTCCCGCCTACCCACCATCGTTCCCTCGCTACCCCCCTCTATGTCGCTATCCGCTATTTCTCCCTTCGTGCCAGTCGTCCATCCGTGTCCCCGTCCTCGTCCTTCGCCAAAAACCTCCCACTCCCACTCCCACTCCTTACTTCGCACTCACTCTCACTCACACACAACTACAGCTACTTACTTGACCAGCTCGCTCCTCGCGCTGCCCTGCAGTCCCTACTCTCATTTTCGTTTTCGTATCCGTTACTAATCTTTCGTGTTTCAAAACGCTGTTTGTGCATCCGTCCCCGTACTAATACGCGCCTCTTCCCGTCCGGGTGATCCGACCGGTCCCGCTGTACTTCAGTACTCGTACTGCACGTAGAGTATGAGTAGTACATACATCGGTAGACCAGGACTTGGACTAGGACTGTCGAATGAGACGCGCTGCAGGCTGCAGCCTCTTCAGAACCGTTCAGCCCGAGGTTGACTCCTTGCGTGGAACCGATAACCATAATCAAAGGCGAGAAGCCCCCGGCCGATCGGGTTGCGGACTTCGCTCGGCTGCTGGCACTAATTACTTGCTAATCACCTTTGATGCACCATGCGAAGACGTCCCACCACTCGGAGTGGAATCCCCCCTTCCGACCCCCCTCCCGTGAATCCCACCGCCACAAAGATTACGGGTAGCCCTTCCATGCTACATGCTACATGTTACATCTCTCGCAAGTGTCCGTTCCAAACGCAATCTCCTCGCCGTCGTCGTCGTCGTCGTCTCGGGGAACGGAACGGACCGTGCGAAGGTCGAACTTCGAACGGCGGCGTCTCCTCGCGTCTCGCGTCTCGTATGGGGCCTACTAGATCCGGACCCCTAACCCCACCCGCCGCGCTCGTTCAAGTTGCGCCCGCGTCGCGAAGTTCTTCATCTTCCTCCGAGTCCTCCTCACATAAGTATCAATGTCACGGGAATCCCAGTACTTACAAGTTGCAACTTGCACCGACCCCGACCCGGCAGAAGGAGTATCGGGCCTCAAGCTTCAGGCCTCACGCTGGAGAGCTCCGTACTAAGTACTCAACATTGATCAAGTAAGTACACGACATGAAACATGAATGCATGCACTCGGATCCGAGTGTTCTCCCGGAATCCACCCGAGCCCGAGCCCGAGCCCGAGTCCGAGTCCGAGTCCGAGCCCGAGTCGGGGGCAGCGCGGCTCACAGGCTACAGCAGCGTCCCAGTCACGTCCGACGACGAGGTTCGCTGCTGTGCCCCGACACTCGAGTCTCGTACACTCCGAGGCCTGCGGCCTGAGTACTGAGTCCTGAGTACTGACGCGGACGAGCCCGGGGCCGCAGTGCTCTCTCCGAGACTCGAGTCCTCAGCCCGGCCGCCGCTCCGATGCTGCTCTGACCAGGTAAGTAGTATGTACCTGCCGCCGTCCGTTCGAGCCTTGAGGCTTGCAGGTTTTCCATCCCATCCCATCCCATCCTGCCCGGCACTGTGCAGTGGCGCACGTCAACGCCGGCTCCTGGCTGCCGCTGGCACGCTCGCTGGTAAGCACTCTAGGCTCTACCGTACTCTACAGTCGGAGTCTCTAACCGGCTCAACTCCAGTCCTAATGGCAGGGCACGTCTCAGGTCTGCGGATCCGCCGTGGATCATGCACAGGGAGTCATCGAAGACTGAGACTGGCTACGGGTACCGGCTACCGAAGCAGTCGAGCGTCGAGCGTCGAGCGTTGAACTTTAACGGTCCGTCCCACCAAGTCAACGCCGCAGCACGCCCGCTCCCGAACTACAAGCTCGAAGATGCACTCTTTCAAACGCGTCTGCCTGCAAGTCACCCGCGGTGCAAATGCATCCAGATTCCACCGGTCAACCGTCCGAGAGTCGACTTCCAGCATCACGGAGCCGCCCGCATCCGGGAAAGCAGGACGAGAGATCTGCGCCCCCGCCGAGTCGCCGCACTGGCACGCCTCTCGTCGCGCGACTCCGAGACGTGCCCCTCCAGCTGCGCTCGTCTTCATGCAACTTGTAAGGGTCCAGCATGCTTCGTGCATCCCCAGTCTCAGTCGCCTGCCTGCCCCGGAGTGTGGCGATGCGACTCGGGCGGACGCAATGCAAGGCATGATGTGGTGATACGCCTCTCCGTGTCCGTACTGACACTCGACATCGAGCGAAGCCACCCTCATGGCAAGAACTCGAATGCACGCGTCCTGAGTCGGCCTTGCGGCACCCACCCGCCGTGCACTCTGACTTCAGCCCGTAAGCTGCAGCCGTACTACGGCTCGAGTACAAAACCCGGTACGTCCGCCCCCAAAGTCCCCATCGCTCACCTCGAACTCCCAGCTCAGGTCCGCGAACCCACACTCACTCTACGTTTCTCTCCACATTCTCGTCGCACACTCCTTCGTCTGCACCCACACCACACCACACCATCATGTTCACCAAGCTCGCCCTCCTCTCCGCGCTCGCGCTCGCGACTCTCGTCGTCGCCTCCCCCATGCGAGTTGCCGTTCGTACTATGGAAGACCACGTCGCCTCAGCGGGCGACCCTGCCGACGCCCTGGCTCCTGCCCTCGACTTCCTTGATCTCCAGGAGTACCAGGCTGCCGGCTTCGCAGACCTGAGCCGCTACCTCAACGCCCTTCCCATTCGCGACCTCCTCGACAGCGACGCCCCTGCCCCTGCCCCCGAAGCCTTGGCTCCCCGCGGCCGGTTCAGTAGTGCAGCGCTCAGAAAGATGAACCGCATCATCAACCGCCTTCCCACTCGCCAGCTCCTCGACGGCGAAGGCTCCCTCGCCGGTCTCCCCACCCCTCTCAGTGTCATCGGCGCCCCCCTCTCTTCGAGTCCCGCGAGCCCCGGTTCGTCCTCCCCGGTCATGCCCGTCAATCCGCCCGTCTCGCCTGTCAATGTGGGCAACAGCGAGGACGAGGGTGAGGGCATGAAGCCGATCCTCGAGGGCTCGCTTTCTGACGGGGGGCTCATCGGCGGACTCTCCGGCCAGGGCGAGATCTTGTAGACGCGGTGAGTGTTCGGTGTGCGATCACGGCTGGGTTATGGGCGGACGCTGACGCAGGCGCGGGCGCAGGTGGTTAGTAACGCACAGCCGGTGTTCTAGCGAGGCCTGCCACGGCTTTCGCAAGGTCGGATACCGACGGTTACCCGGTGGTCGTCTAGGCTCTCGAGCTGAGCGGACGCACTTCACTCACCGAGGAGCCACTGCTCCGGCAACACATCCCCTCTTTCATCCCTCTTCCACGTACAGCGTGGCTTAGCATGACTCATATTTTTGCACTGCATACATTCCCTTCCACGTTTGTTTCGTTCGTCCGGTTACTTACCTTCCTAATACCAGTCGTACTCTTCCATTATTGCGTGTTGAATTTTCATCCACCGAGATGCTGCCGCTCTTCCAAAGTTGTTTCGTCCTTGCTCTGGACATTGATATATTTATCATTTGCTGGCAGTTGCAGCACCCTATGCATTGTTTGGCATGATGATTGTACGCGGCACATGCACGTTTTGTGCGTCGTAGAGTGCGTAATGCCCAATACTAAGTAGTATGGTTGCCCGTGTTCCTCCCGAGGCCTCCGAAGTACAATTGCATGTTCACCGACCTTAAGGAAGAAAGTGTGCTGCGCTGAAGCCTGAAGAGCTCAATAGCACCGCCCGGGAGGAGTCCCAGTCACGCTCGAGTTTCGCCGCTGTGCCCTCTAGTCCGCCTGTGACCCTCCGATATACTGTTCTGGCTGGCTAGTCAGCGCTACAGCTGTTGGATTTCCTGTTCGGAGTTTCAAGTTCAGCAGTCTCGTAGACACAGTTCCCGTTATGGCACGCTTAGTCAGCACCTACTTCCCTCATGCGTCTGCATGGGCTCTTAGCTCTTAGCTCTAGCTAAACGCAATTTTCTGTTGATCTCTCGGTGCTCTCTCGAACTTCAACCTAAGTACCTGCAGACGTTCCGGATCCGGGATCCCCATTCGTGGAGTCCCCCCGACAGCCTGCCCATCATACCGTGACTCGGCGCTCCGCTGGCGCACGAGAATGTCGGCTCCTGGCTGGCATGCTCACTAGTAAGTAATGTACCGTAGGAGTCTCTAAACGGCTTACCTCCAGCCTGAACATTAGGGCACGTCTGCGGATCCGCCAGAGGCCGATAGACTATCAACATGCATTCGCTGAAGGCTCAAGCAGTCGAGCGTTGACACCCATGACCGGTCGAAGACGTTGCATGCTACAGCACGCCCGCTTCCGAACGTGATCACGCCGGTCACGGTGCCGCCTTCTTTCTGGAAGGTAGGACGAGACATTTGCGCTCCCACTTGCCGCTGCCGCCTACTCAACGTCCCTAGCAATGCCAGCGCACATCGATCCCGGGGACGGCGTCAACATCAAGCATCCCCTTCGCTCACCGCCCTTCCGTGGTACGACTCGGAAACGTGTCCATGCTGATGCGCCCGTCTTCATGCACCGTGCATGGCTGCAGCATGTATCAGGCATCTCCAAACTCAGTCGCCTGCCAGCCCGACCCACACTGCGAGTCGGACGGACTCGACGCAAGGTATGTATGATGATACGCCTTTTCATGTCCATACTGACACTCGACATCCAATGTTCAGGAGTCGTGTCTGGCATGCCCTGACTCAAGCGGCCGTCATGGAAAGATTGCACGCGTCCTGAGTTGGACTCGCACTCAACGCGCACGCTCAGCTCGGGCCTCCCGCGAACTCTACGCCGGCTAGAGTATAAAACCCGGCACATCCCCTCCCATCGTCCCCATCGCTCACCTCGAACTCTCAGATCTCAGCTCGCGTCCGCGAATCCACACTCTCTCAACGTTTCCCTCGCACTTCGCACCTCGCAGCACACTCCTTCTCCTACACGCTCCTACATCCACACCACATACCACAACCATGTTCACCAAGCTCGCCCTCCTCTCCGCGCTCGCGCTCGCCGGGCTCGCGTCCCTCGTCGTCGCTTCGCCTATCCGCCTCCCTGTTCCCGCCCCTACCATCGCGTCCGACTCCTCCCTGGCTCCCCGGGGCCATCACCATCACATTGGGCCCCATCACCATCACCACCACCACCACCACCACCCCGCCGACGCAGACGGCCTCGCCAGCACAATCGACGATGTAGCGGGCGACGTCGTCGAACCCGCCCTCGGCGAGCTCGCGTCCCTCCCCGCTGCCCCACTGGTTCCCCGCGAGCACCAGGACCGTGCACCTGGGACCCTCAAATCTCGGTGCTTCTTCCTCGCTAGATTCCTTGGCAGTCGAAGGGGCCGCCGTCCAGGCCTCCCCGCCGGTCCCCCTGCCAATGGCACCAGCCCCGTCTCTTCCCCGCTCCCCGCTCCGTCCTCGCCGGCCATGCCCTCGATCAGGCTGCCAATGCTTGGTAACATAGAGAAGCGCGACAGCCACAGCGAGGGTGCGGGCGCGGAGCCCGCGGAGAGCGACGCCGAGGTGCTTTCGAGCTCCGAGCCGGCTGAGGAGTGCGATTGCTGCAAAGACAAGACGGTCCTCGAGGGCTCACTTTCTGGCGGGGATCTCATCAGCGGACTCTCCGGGGAGGGCGATATCGGGCTGGACAGCGATATGGTGCCCGACGTCCCTCAAAGCGACATCTAGACGACGCGGTGAGTGTTCAGTTTGCGATCGCGGCTGGGTTTAGCACGAACGCTGACGCTGATGCGGGTGTGTTCTAGTAACGCGCAACCAGTGTGCTCCGAGGGCGAGGCGTAGGGCGGATTCATCAATGTCGGGTGTCTCCCTGTCGTCGTCCAGGCTCATCGCTCCGTCTTACGAGCTGCGCGGACGCAAGTGCCTTGCCGAGGAGCCACTCTGTCAACGCAATCCCTCCGTCAATCCTCCTTCATATATGGCTTGACTCATATATATTCCCTTCCGTGTTTGCATCGTTCCTTCGTTTACAGTCGTGCTCTTCGATTATCGCGATGTTGAATTTGCATCCCTCTGTTTTGTCGTTGCTCTGGATGTTTATCATTCGCTCATCATCGCCAGTACTTACCCTACCTTGTACTAGCCGGCACCCGTCCAATATACTATGGCTGTCCTCCGTGTACCCCCCGACGCCTCCGCTGCAGCACAAGGCTACTCACCGCCGGCGGGCTCTCGTCCAGAAAAGGCGAGACGGAAGCCAAATGAGGCAAGTCTCTTCTGCTCGTCACGTCTCTGCCTTCGATCGACGCGTCTGCGCTGGTCTCCCTTCACCGGAGCCATCGGCACATGAGCAGGGAGGGTATATATGCCAGGACGCACGACGACGCGCTCCCTATCCCTCCTCTCCTCCTTCCACATCCTCCCTGCGACTCCCCCGTCTTCGTTCGTCCGCGTCCTCGTCGTTCCCTTACGCTCCCTGCACTCGGTCACCGCACCCCACGACGAGCACGATGCACGCCAAGCTCTCCCTCTTCGCGGTCGCCGCCCTCGCCCTCCTCGCCTCGGCGAGCCCTGCACCTGCCCCTGTGCCCTGCGAATCCGACTCCACCACGCAGGTCGCGCACACGCACACCGCGCCCACCAAGACGTGGACCCCGCGCACGTCCACCGCAACCTCCACTGCGACCGTTGTCCGCACGTCCACCGCGACGGCGACTTCCACGCGCCGCGGCACGACCTACACGCGCACGACAACTGCAACGGTCACGGACTACCCGCCTACGCAGACCGTCACCGTCGTCCAGACCCGCACCCAGACCGAGACGCGCACCGCGACGGAAACCGAGACCGAGACCGAAACGCAAGGGCGCACCTCGACGGTCACGGCCACCAGCACATTCAGCGTCAGCACCGGGGTCATCGCTGCTCCCCTGCCGACGGGCTCTTCCTCTCCAGGCTCCGGGTCTGCTTCGTCAGGCAGCGGTCAGTGCAACACGGGCGAGATCCAGTGCTGCGACTCCGTCAAGGACTCGAAGAGCCCAGAGATGAGCTCCATCCTCTCGTCGCTCGGGATCGACATCACAGACGACCTCGGTCTAGCCGGGACGTCGTGCTCGCCCATCGACACGCTTGGGCTGGGCGGTGGTACCGAGTGGTAAGTCCTACTACTGACCATGTGACGATGGTACTCACTGATTGTATGCGCGTCTTCAGTAACCAAAAGCCTGTGTGTTGCAACAACAACACCTACCGTGCGTATCTCGTTCTTTATCTGGTGGAGGAGCCTTTGCTTACGCCATCATGGCAATCACAGAGGGACTCATCAACATCGGTTGTGTTCCCATCGACCTCGAGCTCTGAACGACCGCCATAAACATCGCAATTTCTGTTGTACTTTGTAAGTCCGTGTCGCTCTGCATGGTCACGTCTAACGCTCACCGTCTTCCCGATCGCACGTGTAGTTCACTCTCACGCACCCATTCGCGCATCGCTAGTCCGCTAGTCTACCACTCTTTGCATTCTTCGCTTTCTCTTGAGGCTACGGACATTCTTTCTCTCTTCAGAGCTTGTTCTTCTGATCCTCCGTCGTTCTTTGGAAATTTGTCTGGGATATACGCATACACGACTGTACGAAATGAAGTCAGACATGACACCTGTAGCACGTACTTGGGATCACACACTATCATTATTGATTTCGTTTGGACACTCTTATCGTCAGCGTGACATCACGGCGAGCGGGCGAGCACGGGAAGAAACGCAGTCATGGCTTCTGCTTTCCGGCACAGGCGACTGTCATTGAAAGTGATTGACGCGGGGGAACGAACCAGCGTCGCGTGCTCCATGGCAGAGGACCTCGGTTTCGGGCGCCGATGTTGCTTATGGTCGACCGGTGTTGCGCAAGCTTGTCCTTCGGCTGGTCGACGTAGCACACTTCGCGTCTCTTCTCCAGATAGCAGACAATAAAGCCAACTCGTCCAGAGCTCCTCGAGGCAGCGTGTCAAGACGCATAGCTGGCGCGGTCGGGTGCTGCGTCATGACAGCAGAAGGACTTCGGCAACTTCTGCAGCGACGCTGCCATCTCCGATCCCCGGCGGCGCGAACGTCTCGGGCACAAGCG